GCAAATTTCCGCAGGCGGAAATAGAAGAGATAATTTGTTTAAAATTTCAAAGTATACTCTACAAAAAATTAAAGATGTATTAAACCGGAAGTTAACAGTTTATGATTTAGATCTTAAAAGATGAGCTTTAGAAAAGAAGCATGAAATGAATGTGCCTTGGATTAAAGCATCACCAAAGTGGATATTGTTATTTAAAAGAAAACATAAAATTGTATCACGTGTGGCGGGGAATTTCGAGGGTTTTAACCGCGTTATCGAATTTCTTCCGCCACAAGGCCTGATCGGCTCTTTACCCCCGGATATTTAGGGCGCCAGACCGCCGTTTGACTAGGACGATCGTCGGGGATAGAGACTAAAGGTCGTCGCGTATCCCGGTTTGCTTTTACGGCGACAGCGCATGGTGGGCAAACGGGTGAGTACTCGCGATCTCTTCTGCTTCAGGCCTCGGTGTCCAACAATTCGATTCCTCTTTGTCTCCTCGCTTATGATATGCCGGCAGCTCAGATGATGACTCCTTATTTCAGGTCGGAAGTCCGTTCGAATTCGCGTGTATGTCACCTATCATGGGAACCGAAAATATAACCAGCGTTACCCTATTATAACCGCTCGCGGCTGAAAATAATCAGCATGTAAATAAGGCAGGATGACAAAAGTAAAATTTATATAAAGAATAATTGATCACTTTTATTGACTTATTTTATAATGCATAAGCAGGTGGTCGGATTAATTAGGATCAGTATGATTCTGTATAATTATATGAAATATCAAGGACACGAAATAATCGAAACTAGCATTCTTCCGGTCGGTCTTTAATTGACAAAAATGGCGGAAGAGTCAGCGCAAATAATTAATTCACGAGTTTCAATTCGTCCACTTTCAATATTCGCAATAAATTACTATGTTGGCGAAAGGTCAGCGCGAATCCTTTAAATTACGGGTTTTAATTCGTCTACTCCCAATATTTGCAATAAATTACTATTTCGGTGAAAGGTCAGCGAGAAAAATCTAACCACTGGTTTCCTTTGTCTGATCTTAACACTCACGTTCGATTCTGTGCAATGGTGGACAGGTCAGCGCGACTAATAGGATCAATGATTTATTCAACTAAGCCTACATCCGCAATAACTAATATTTTGGTGAAAGGTCAGCGCGAATTAACTAATCACTGTCTTTCTTTCGTCTGATCCTAACACTCGCAGTAGCTAATAATTTGGAGTTAATCTTGATGAAAGGTCAGCACGAATAACTAAATCTTGACTTTTAATTCGCATACTCCCAATATCCGCGATAAATTTCTATTAGCGAAAGGTCACCGCGAATCAACTAATCACTGGTTTTCTCCGTCCGATCTTAACACTCACGTTCGATTCTACGAAATGGCGGAAAGGTCAGCGCGAATTAGTAGGCACCGGTATCGACGGATCCACGCGTCGCGACAACCTATTACACCGACAATTCCACTCCCGCATTCCGCGATTAATACTAATGAGTGGCACTTTGACTACTTACGGTTTTCCTTGCTGATATTCGGCGAACGAAATTGACGTGAGAAAAACAGTGGTTAGCGCAATTAATCCTGCGAGACAAAAGTATCGGACACCAGCTCTCCTTCTGGCTCGAAAAACAACGGCAAAATGGACGAGAATCGGCTTTTTGCGGTCCAAGATCGCTTTTCTTCTCCTCTTTCCGAGAAGAAATGTTATTATTGGTAGGTATGCTAATTCGGATATCGGTAGCGCCCTCCGAATATTTTATCATTGGTCCGTATGTAAATTAGAAGAATACAGCGCCCTCCTTAACTCTCCTACTTTCGTCGTTATTTACCCTCTCTCACCCCCACTAAGATAGCTATCATTAATTGATGAGAAAGATCTACCTCTACTCTTATCTATTTATCTATCCGGATGGAAATCAAATTTTATTCTAATTCGCTTATTGGTCGTGACGTCACCAGCGAATTTCGTCAGAGGTTCTAATTCTGCCGGTTAATTTCTTGATTAAATTTAACGGGTATTTGTCGCTCGCTATTATAATACGGGGTGTGTGGTTGCATGCGAATTTTTATAATTCGGTATTTCTTTCATGTTCATTTTCTAATTATAATTTTAATTCGTTATGATTAAATAAATAATGTACGTCGTCTCAATTGTAGCGCCCCCATCTTCGCATTTACATATAATTTTATTCATTATTTCATATAATCTGTCTCGCTCGCTCTTGTTTAGTCCCGTGTCGGTCAAGTGACGTGTTCCTGGGTGTATATGTGTGGTTACCGTTGTGAGTGTGTGTGGCGCTGAGGATGTCGCCGATGGTGTTCGGCAGCCCGACACAGCTGATTTCCGGCTGCCACTTCATTGGCGAATTTCTGCTCTGTGAGTGTTGGTGTTGGTGCCTAGGAGTGTAGCGGATCTTTTTTTCTTTTGAGTGTCCGTCGGATCGCGTTCGTCGAGCTTATTTCGTCAATATCTCAAGTTATGGTATTCGGGCATGAAAAGGGTTAATTGTTTGTTTTAGTGCGCGCTTGTTTACATTTTATGCAACTGGTTACGGGGCGGCAAGGGACGGGAATGGCTTTCCTGAGGTGTTGCAGATAATGCAACAATCAGAAAAAGCCTTGTAATGTACCGCATTACACACGTAAAATAACGAAATATAACAAAAGTATTTATTGATAATGAGCCTGATCTACAGCTGAACTGTCAAAATTTTATTAATGAAGTGAAATCTGAACTATTTTAGAAAAAGAGCAGGTAATGTATATAATTCTGATCAAAGTGAGCTTAATTTAGAAATGCATAGTGGCAGGACATTAAATGACAATGGGATAAAGACAATTGAAACGCTTGTACAATCAATATCACCTACTACACTTAGTTATACTATACAACCGATAATATCTGCAGAAGGTATGTTGCTCTCGCCGCTTTTTATGGTTTTAAAAGAGCCAAAGGGCGAATTCGGGCCTACTGTTGTAAAAAAATTATTCCAATCACCTACTATATATTTGCAAGCAAGTGTATCAGGAAAACTGTCAAAATATGGTTAGGAAATGTCTTTTTTTCTAATTGTGGAAAAACTGTAGTTTTGTTACTAGACTCATGGAATGGGCAATGTAAACGCACTATACGAGAAGTTATACCTCAAGATAAAAATTTTCGATTGATGACATTCCCTAAGTGTACCACAGGCAAAATTCTATCGTTGGATGTATTTGGTTTTCGAATTTGTAAAAACTTCGTGCGGAAAATATCAGATGCTATCATTTTATTCGGATCAGACATAAATTTACACGAAAGAAATAAATTATTAAATCACAATCTATTACACATAATCAATTATCTTCACCTAAATTCAAAAGCGTACTGAAATATGCTTGGTACAAAAGTGGGTACTTGGATAAAAAACGTGATTCGTTCGACAATCCTGTTCAACATTGCTTCGAAATTTCAAAACAGCTTATCTGCGAGATTTGTGAGAAAATAGCAATTATAAAATGTGCATGGTTCAAGATACTACTATGCCTGCGGCATTTGTTTATAGAGTATCGTTATTGCTCACAATATCAACAGTGACAAGAAGACGGATCTTATATACAATACAATCATTAACTTTAAAAATTTGATTGAATTTCAAGAAGAATATGATGATACCATCAAACGTATTAATATTGTATTAATAAAATAAATAAACATACATCACTTGTCCTGAATCAACTTGTATATAGGTGAATTTGTCTGCGGGTTACTCTGTCTACGGAAATATTTGTCAAATGGTTGACCAATCTGGGGATAAACCCGTCCGATAACCAATCATTAGATTAAGCCATCTGGCGGTCAAACTGTCTTCGGGATGAACAGGAGGCTTACGTTTATGAGGGTTAATTTGACCAGTGGAGTTATTCAAGGGGTATGCAAGTGGGATTGATAAGGGGATGAGGTTGATTAGGGGTCATGCATATGGATTTAATCACTGGGTGTTTAAGAGATATACCGGAACGCTTTAGGTTTATTCGTATTATTTTTCACAAGATAGATCGTTTTTTTAATTTTTTTATGATCCGCTTTTGAATTTGAACGGTAAAACGTAGGGCTGGCAACCCCCAGTGACAATACCTGGTTACGTTTCTCTCTTATATAGATTACTAACATTATAATTCTCTCATCAATATTTCAGCATCATAGCAAATAAAAATCAGTGAAATTAGTGATTGGCAATTATTCATACAGCAATAGTAGGGTTTAGGGGTAGTTCACCCTCGAAATACATAAAATTAAAAAAATGAAGAAACTCTTCAGTTTTATTTTATCATTTCCTAGATGAAAATTTATTTTTCAATTTTTTTATGATAATTTTGTGATTTTGTACACGAAAAATCCACTAAAAAATGTAGTTTTTCTCCTGTACATCGTAGAACTTGCAACCCCCTGAGTCTAAAATAATGCGGTTTTTTAATTTTTTAAGTAAGAAACTTTTTCCATTTTGTTTCATCAAAAAAGATTCATGACAACCAAAGCTACCGCTGTTTAACTGTTTTTCGGGGTTGGGTTGGGTTTTCACCTCCTAGACAGCTTTTTCGGATGATAAACAAATACGAGTCTCTTAGTTTTTTTATAAATTATAACATACCTCAATTACAACAAAATTGAAGGCGGACGGCTGGGAATGTTCCCTTGTAAGTTATAATACGATGACTATTAATATGGTGAAATATGAAATTATTGTTACATTTATACTTAATATAGAGAGGTTCATTTACTATTCATAAAAATACATTGCTAATAAAATTACACTCAGATTTTAAGCCTGCATTTGATGACTGCAAGGTCTTTCCAAAGTTGGTTTACTACAGACTTATTACTTAATATAATTCTTTTTGAAACTGAAATGTAACTGTACACTTATCGATGACATTGATAATTTTTACTCTAAAGTTTAACCTGTAGAATATACACGGATAAATCGGACTATTAATTCTATATATTTTTATATTTTTATTACAGACAATGGACCATGTCTTGGATGGCGTATTGGAACGGGAAAATTATACCAATGGTTGAATTATAATGAAACTCTCCTTAGAGCTAGAAATTTTGGAGCAGGGTTAATTTCAGTCGGTCTTCAGCCGTGTGCACAAACCATTGTAGGTCTTTATAGCCAAAATTGTTTAGAATGGATTCTTACTGAACAAGCTTGTTATACTTACTCCTTAGTAGTGGTTCCATTGTATGATACGTTGGGTCAAGATTCGTGTTCTTACATTATTAATCAAGCAGATATAGCAGTTGTGATATGTTATGATGATAAGAAATGTAACTTATTACTAGATAAAGCTCCACGGTACGTATAGTACTTCAAAATATATGATACATATATGTAAAGACAATTTGGTTAATAATAAGCCTTGAGTACAAATTAGATACAAAAAGGTCTTAAATATTGCTTTATAATCATTGTCTATTCTAGAGTGATCTAGAAAACGTCCTGAAATGAATTTTTTTAACAACAAAATAAATTTTTAATTACACAGGCCAACAAAATTTGACAAAGGTTCAAAACCAGAGACCAGACATAATATTGTTATGTATTCTCCTCTGATTTCGAACGAAATACGTTGCTAAGCGATTTTGTTAGTTTGTTTTGTTCGCTTTGTTTTTTCAGAGTATGTTTTGCATTGAGACGATAAACATATAATTGTGGTTATTTTAAATAAATACGTTCTCGTTCTTTTTATAACAAAGTTATTATTATTATTTTGTGTGAGTGTGCGTGTGACTGTAACATTTTTGGGGGCTCAGCCGGGATATTTCGAGATGTCAGGAAAAACGCCGTGCACACCAACGCATGAACCATTCCAAACATAGACAAGAGCACAGATTGCCGCGGACGAACAATCCGCTGCAGTTACTATTACCAGTGCCGAGATTGTTGCTATGGCCGACGTTGTGCTTGTTAACAATGACACCGCTGCTCCTATTGAACATTGACCGGAAAAACAAATAAGACCTACTAAAAATACAGGTACTGTTGCTCGCACTAATACTAAAACTGCTCATGTCGATTCAGGGGACGACTCGACGGCTGACGGCTCGCGCTCAGGAAGCAATGTCCGGGTAGTGATTGCGGACGTTTTGCCAACGCCGCCAATGGTCGCAGATGCCTCGGGTGCACTGACCGATGAGGTGACAGAACCCGTCCTTGCGCCTACAGTGACCGATATTCCGTTGCCACAAGCTACTCTCCAGGAAGCGCTGTTAGCACTTAATGATGCAAGGGTTGAACTCGATAAGTACCGAAGAGAACTGGAGGTTATACAAACCGAACGAAAGGCCGAGCGAACATATAGTAGACAATTGGAAGAAAGATTACAACATCGCAGCGTCGAAGAACAGAACGCTACGATGGAGCTTCGTCTACGGGATGCCACTGTTGTCGATCATCATCGAACCATTGAAAATCTACAGTCACAACAATATCTTCTTGAACAACAACTGACCCAGTTCCGTCAACAACTAAACCAGATGAGCTCCTCTTCCTACCTTACTACACAAATTACACCAACAACAAATACAGCGAATACAAGTAACACGTGTACACAACAGATAGGGTTAGATAATAGAACAAATAGGCAGGTAAATACACCTATTGTAAACTCAACCAGACTAATTGAAGAAGGGTTAGGCTATAACTTCAAACCTGACACTTATGATGGCACAACTCCTCTATGTGCATACTTAAATCAATTTAATTTAATTGCAAGAGCTAACGGGTGGAATGATGAAAAGAAAATTATAGCATTAGCAGCTTCGTTACGTGATAAGGCAAAAGGTGTATTGAGTAGCTTTACCGATATGGAAGTTTTGAATTTGAAATCATTATTAGAGAAACTAGAAGCACGATTCGGTGAACATTTAGAATCAAATAGTTATTCCTTGTTTCAAAATAGAAGACAGAAAATAGGCGAAGATCTTCCAACATTAGCTGCTGATATCGAAAAACCGGCATCGTTAGCTTATCCTGAATGTTCATTAGAGATTCGCGACAAAATTGCTTGTGCTCAATTTATTATAGGTATCTATCATAATGGGGTTAGGGAAGTTCTTCAATTAGAGCGTATCACTTCTTTGAAAATAGCTTTAGCTCGCGCTCTAGAAGTAAAATCGATCAAAGAAAGAAACAAGATTCCCGTCTTTCGAAATGCGCGAAATTTCCAAAATAACCCAAATTCTTCAGAAAATAAATTTCAAAATGAAGCAAATAGTATAGATAGTAGCAAACAGAGTCAACCATTCGATCCTCGAGAATGGTTGAAGAATATTGAATGTTATCATTGTCATAAAAAAGGACATACACGCTCTCGATGCCCGGAGCAGGGAAACTAGGATGTGTCGAACTTTCAGGAGCGGGTTTGACATTTAGTGAACAAGCTCCTTCCAATAATGATTTGTCGAATATGCGCGTTCGTAGAGTTCTTGGAAATTTGAAAACTTTTAGGTTTGAGGGTAGTATAGACAGATAGTTATGCGTTTTTAAATTAGATACAGGCTTAGACGTGACGATCGTCAATCTTCGATTTGTTGATCCTCATTATCATAAAATTTTCTATGATGCTCCGAATGTGAGGTACCCCACTGGTGAAGAAGTTCCTATCCAATTCAGAACAATTGTCCGCGTTAATTTGGGTTGATATTCAATCTTGATGACAGTTTTTGTTGCAGACATTACTAACAACTGTATACTTGGGTGTGATTTTTTGAATAAGACCGGAATTACAGAATCAATAAGTAACATTTTTAAGAGTACTACAGGTATGGTTGTCAGTGATGCTACCGCAGAATGTTGTAGAATGACAGAATATGTTAAGGAAGTACAAGATTTCTTGCTAGACCTCTTCGAAAATAACATTAGTAATTTAGATCCATCACAAAAGAAGAAATTTGCTCAACTTCTGACTGATTTCCAAGACATTTTTCAAGATGATGATGTTGCGGGAAAATGTAATTTAATGGAACATAAAATTGAGCTGAGCGATCCTCATCCTATTAAACAACCGGTTCGTCCGGTTCCTTTTCATATCCAAACAGATATTAATCAAATGATTACTGATATGCAAAAGCAGGGTATTATCGAAGAATTTTCTAGTTCTTGGTGTTCTCCAGTAGTTTTAAAAAAAAAAAGATTAAAACTTGGAAATTTTGTGTAGATTTTCGGAAGTTAAATGAAAAAATACTTAAAGATTCACATCCATTACCTAAGATAAATAAATAAATATTTCAGATAAATGAGCTGGCAAATCTTGGTTCTCGACTTTAGATCTCAAAAGTGGATATTGGCAGATGAAGATTCGTCCGGAAGATAGAGATATAGCCTTCTCAATTGGAAATGGTTTGTGGCAGTTCATCGTTATGGCTTTTGGCTTATGTAATGCTCCGGCCACTTTTGAAAAGTTAATGGAGAAATTGCTCCGAGATCTTTTAAATGAAATCTGTTTAATTTATCTTAATGATGTTATGGTTATGGCAAAATCATTCGATGAGATGTTAGCCAATTTACGCAGAGTTTTTCTGAGGATACGTGACGCTAATTTAAAATTGAATAGAAAAAAATGTGTTTTCTTCCAACACGAGATAGAATACTTAGGACACATTGATTCAGAAAACGGAAAAAAACTGATCCCAAAAAGATAGAGGCTACGGTTACATGACCTGTCCCTCGGTGTAAGAAACACGTGAAAAGTTTCACTGGATTATGCTCTTATTATAGACGGTTCATTAAAGGATTTTCTTCTATTGCTAAACCTCTGTATCGCTTAACAGAAAAGGGAACCAAATTCAATTGGACAAGTGATTGCCAAAATTCATTTGTGAAATTAAAAGAAGTTTTAACAACTCCACCTATTTTAGCTTTTCCTCGTACCGATTTACCTTTTATTTTAGGCACAGATGCTCCAGATCATGGGATAGGAGCTGTCTTGTCACAAATTCAGAATGGGGTAGAGAGAGTAATAGGTTATTATAGTCGTGTTCTAACAAAAGCCGAGATAAATTATTGTGTTACTCGTCGTGAATTATTGGCAGTAGTAGATACAACTAAACATTTTCATTACTACTTATGTGGTAGAGCTTTCTTCATTCGTACCGATCATTCGGCGTTAACATGGCTTTTTTCTTTTAGGGATGTGGATGGTCAATTAGCTAGATGGTTAGGAAAATTAGCTCAATATAATTTCAAAATTTTGCACCACAAAGGTACATCACATGGTAATGCAGATGGTTGTTCTAGACGACCCTGTAGTAATTCTTCGTGTAGATACTGTTTTAATATAGAATCACAGTATGCACAGGGTGATTGTGTAGGGCGGATTATCTTTGAAGAAACTCCTCATTCAGTTTGGAAAGATCGTCAATTTCAGGATGATGTCATTCGTATTATTTTAAATAGTAAAAAGAAAGGTAATAGATTATCATGGCAAGATATTTCTTCTAAAGATGAGTACATGAAAATATATACATCTCAATGGGACTCCTTAGTTATTTTAGATGACATTTTGTATAGAGAATGGATCTCTTCTAATTTGAAGTCAAAAGTTCTTCAATTAATAGTACTTAGGAATTATATTAACACGGTTTTAGAAGAGGCTCATGATTCCCCTTCCGGTGGTCATTTTGGTGTTAATAAAACACTACAGAAGGTACGGAAAAGATTTTATTGGGCTTTTTGTAAGAAAGATGTTGAAAATTGGTGTAGATCTTGCTCGAAGTGTATAGCGAGAAAAGGACCTTCAGATAAAGGTCACAGTAACATGAAGATCTACAACGTAGGATTACCTTTCGAAAGGGTTCAAATGGATATTTTAGGCCCTTTTCCGATTTCTTCTTTAGGAAATAAATACCATTTAGTCGTAACAGATTGTTTTACAAAATGGGTAGAAGTTTTTCCACTCTCTAATATGAGAACAAAAACTATCGCCGAGATATTTGTTCGTGAAATTGTATGTAGATACGGAGTTCCTCTTGAAGTTCATACTGACCAGGGTCGTAATTTTGACGCTACACTAATCAAACAACTATCCCAATTGTTAGGTATACAAAAACTAGAACAACACCATTACACCCACAATCAGATGGCCAAGTAGAAAGACAGAATAGGACAATACTTGACTACTTAGCTAAATACATATCAGACAATCAAAAAGATTGGGATCGTTGGATTGCCTTGTACCTTTTAGCTTACAGATCTTCTGTTCATGCCACAACTGGAGTTAGTCCAGCGGAAATGTACACCGGTTCAGACCTAAGACTTCCCTTAGACTTGATGTGCGGACGTCTTCCTGAAGTAGA